TAGGAGCTGGTTCTTTGAAAGAATTAATAAGATTGATAAACCCCTGGCCAGACTTATCAAAAAGAAGAGAAAGGACCCAAATAAATAAAATCATGAATGAAAGAGGAGAGATCACAACTAACACCAAAGAAATGCAGACAATTATAAGAACATACTATGAGCAACTCTACGCCAACAAATTTGACAATCTGGGAGAAATGGATGCATTCCTAGAGGCATATAAACTTCCACAACTGAACCAGGAAGAAATAGAAAGGCTGAACAGACCCATAACCAGTAAGGAGATTGAAACAGTCATCAAAAATCTCCAAACAAACAAAAGCCCAGAGCCAGATGGCTTCCCGGGGGAATTCTACCAAACATTTAAAGAAGAACTAATTCCTATTCTCCTGAAACTGTTCCAAAAAATAGAAATGGAAGGAACACTTCCAAACTCATTTTATGAGGCCAGCATCACCTTGATCCCAAAACCAGACAAGGATCCCATCAAAAAAGAGAACTACAGACCAATATCCTTGACGAACACAGATGCAAAAATTCTCACCAAAATACTAGCCAAAAGGATTCAACAGTATATTAAAAGGATTATTCACCATTACCAACTGGGATTTATTCCAGGGCTGCAAGTTTGGTTCAACATCCGCAAATCAATCAATGTGATACAACACATTAATAAAAGAAAGAACAAGAACCATATGATACTCTCAATAGATGCTGAAAAAGCATTTGACAAAGTACAGCATCCCTTCCTTATCAAAACTCTTCAAAGTGTAGGGATAGAGGGCACATACCTCAATATTATCAAAGCCATCTATGAAAAACCCACTGCAAATATCATTCTCAATGGAGAAAAACTGAAAGCTTTTCCACTAAGGTCAGGAACACGGCAGGGATGTCCATTATCACCACTGCTATTCAACATAGTACTAGAAGTCCTAGCCTCAGCAATCAGACAACAAAAGGAAATTAAAGGCATCCAAATCGGCAAAGAAGATGTCAAACTATCACTCTTCGCAGATGATATGATACTATATGTGGAAAACCCAAAAGACTCCACTCCAAAACTGCTAGAACTTGTACAGGAATTCAGTAAAGTGTCAAGATATAAAATCAATGCACAGAAATCAGTTGCATTTCTCTACACCACCAACAAGACAGAAGAAAGAGAAATTAAGGAGTCCATCCCATTTATAATTGCACCCAAAACTATAAGATATCTAGGAATAAACCTAACCAAAGAGGCTAAGAATCTATACTCAGAAAACTATAAAGTACTCATGAAAGAAATTGAGGAAGACAGAAAGAAATGGAAAAATATTCCATGCTCCTGGATTGGAAGAATAAATATCGTGAAAATGTCTATGCTACCTAAAGCAATCTACACATTTAATGCAATTCCTATCAAAAGTACCATCCATTTTTTTTTCAAAGAAATGGAACAAATAATCCTAAAATTTATGTGGAACCAGAAAAGACCTCGAATAGCCAAAGGAAAATTGAAAAAGAAAGGCAAGGTTGGTGACATCACAATTCCGGACTTCAAGCTCTATTACAAAGCTGTCATCATCAAGACAGCATAGTACTGGCACAAAAACAGACACATAGATCAATGGAACAGAAGAGAGAGCCCAGAAATAGACCCTCAACTCTATGGTCAAGTAATCTTCGACAAAGCAGGAAAGAATGTCCAATGGAAAAAAGACAGCCTCTTCAATAAATGGTGTTGGGAAAATTGGACAGCCACATGGAGAAAAATGAAATTGGACCATTTCCTTACACCACACACGAAAATAGACTCAAAATGGATGAAGGAACTCAATGTGAGAAAGGAATCCATCAACATCCTTGAGGAGAACACAGGCAACAACCTCTTCGACCTCAGCCACAGCAACATCTTCCTAGGAACATCGCCAAAGGCAAGGGAAGCAAGGGCAAAAATGAACTATTGGGACTTCATTGAGAAAAAAAGCTTTTGCACAGCAAAGGAAATAGTTAACAAAACCAAAAGACAACTGACAGATGGGAGAAGATATTTGCAAATGACATATCAGATAAAGGGCTAGTGTCCCAAATCTATAAAGAACTTAGCAAACTCAACACCCAAAGAACAAATAATCCAATCAAGAAATGGGCAGAAGACATGAACAGACATTTCTGCAAAGAAGACATCCAGATGGCCAACAGACACATGAAAAAGTGCTCCACATCACTTGGCCTCAGGGAAATACAAATCAAAATCACAATGAGATATCACCTCACACCAGTCAGAATGGTTAAAATTAACAAGGTAGGAAATGACAGATGCTGGCGAGGATGCGGAGAAAGGGGAACCCTCCTACACTATTGGTGGGAATGCAAGCTGGTGCAACCACTCTGGAAAACAGCATGGAGGTTCCTCAAAATGTTGAAAATAGAACTACCCTATGACCCAGCAATTACACTACTGGGTATTTACCCTAAAGATACAAACGTAGTGATCTGAAGGGGCACGTGCACCCAAATGTTTATAGTAGCAATGTCTACAATAGCCAAACTATGGAAAGAACCTAGATGTCCATCAACAGATGAATGGAAAAAGAAGATGTGGTATATATACACAATGGAATACTATGCAGCCATCAAAAGAAATGAAATCTTGCCATTTGCGACGACGTGGATGGAACTAGAGGGTATCATGCTTAGCGAAATAAGTCAATTGGAGAAAGACAACTATCATATGATCTCCCTGATATGAGGAAGTGGAGATGCAACATGGGGGGTTAAGGGGGTAGAAGAAGAATAAATGAAACAAAATGGGATTGGGAGGGAGACAAACCATAAGTGACTCTTAATCTCACAAAACAAACTGAGGGTTGCTGGAGGGAGGGGAGTTGGGAGAAGCGGGGTGGGGTTATGGACATTGGAGAGGGTATGTGCTATGGTGAGTGTTGTGAAGTGTGTAAACCTGGCGATTCACAGACCTGTACCGCTGGGGATAAAAATATATTATATGTTTATAAAAAAAATTTTTTTTAATTTAAAAAAAAAAAAAAAAAAAAAAGCTATCAGTGGGTAAATGCTGTCTTCTGTTGGGCTGCTTGGAAAAGAGCCTGGGCCGGGGAATCAGGTGCACAGGATAGACTGAGGGAGTAGGCTCAGGAGAGAGAGAGGAAAATAAGTTCTGTGTCTTCGTTTCCTCATTTGCATTTTGGGGATAAGTATTGGAAATTATTCATTGATTCAATAATTGTTTTTGATCACACTATACACGAGGCACAGATCTAGGAGGTGTGGATAATACAAACCAAAGAAACCAAGTCCCCCTCATGGGTGACATTCTTGTAGATTCCATTACTCCATTACTTCCTGGTTCTTTCCACACCTCCTGGGAGTATACTGATTAAAGTGCCTTGTTCCAAGGCATTTGCCCTGGAGTGAGGGAGACATAGAGCCTGGACTGGCATCTTCTTCTGAGCAACTCTGAATCCTTGTTTGATCCATGTCACCCTCATGGCTTCCCAGGGAGCCAGGAAGAGAGTAAGTATTATTTCCATTTTGCAAGAAGGGGAATGGTGGTCCCATGACCACCCCACCATCATCCCTGAGACCCAGTGGCATAAACATACTAAAAGTTATGCCTCCTGTGTTCTAGACTGCTTCCTTTAGTCTTCCTGCAACCAGCATTTGAAGTGAAGGTGTATTAGATTTAATATGAAGATGGGCTCATCAAAATCCTCCTATGACACCTCTGATTCCTGAGGATGAATTCCTGAGGACACTGCCTCCATTCTGCCTCATCACTGCCCATGGGGCCAGTCCAACTTGGGATATATAAAACCTGTGATTCTTCATGGTTCTTGACATTGAGAAAACTGTTTATCAGTATAAATCCCTGAGTTTGGGAGTGTTTTGTTACATAGCAGAATTGTGATGAGAGCTGACTAACAGAGGGGACTGTTCATTAGTATAATTGGGCAGACTTGGTCAAAGACCATGACTATTTTAAAGTTCTTGATGCATTTTGCCAGTTTGCTTTCCAGAAAGATTGTCACAATAGACGCTCCTGCCCTCACAGTGCCATTTGACTGGATTTTTCCTATAAAAACACTAAAGTCTTCTATCCTTTTCCCCCGCATGCTCCTATCAAGTATGTTTTGCCGTCTTACCATTTTGTTTTGTTTTGTTTTTCAATTGGCAATAGGACCCAGGAAACAGGGCAAATTCATTCATGAATGTGTGAAGGCAGTGGACTGTTAAGTGATCTTATGAACTGTGGGCGGCTGTGTTGCCAGGAATAACATCACAGCCATTCTCTGCAAGGCTCTGGGCGATGTCCCATTAAACCCTGCCGGCCTGCTAACACCAGCCCCAGATTTATATAATAAATTGCATCTCATTATCTCCTCTCTGGCGCCTTCCTGAGTAATCTCCAATGCAAGCTCGGTGGAAAGCACTAGAAGAAATGGCAGGCTTGCCAGAGCTCAGCCCTGAGGCCAACACTTAATAACCTACTTCAAACAGGACTGTTTTGTGACTGTGCCCCTTGTGGCGGGGAGGGAGCCTGCCGTCTCTCTCTGTGTGGGCCTTTCATTCCCAGAGGGCATGTGCTCTCTCCTCCCACACAGAGAGATTACAAGTTCAAACCTACCCCACCTCCCCAAACGAAAGGCCCCCAGAGGCTCAGCTCTTGAGGACCAGGATGAAGGCCAAGGAAACCCTTGGAAGTCAAGGGGCTTTCACACACAGATAATACCGAGGGCATGTGAACATGCCACCACATCCACAGAAACCATTCTCCCCCCCTGGTCAAAGCAGTTTGTTTGCATTAAAGGTACAGCATGGCCTTGTTGGTGGAGGGTTTAGAAAACCAAGAGCAAGGGTCAGGAAACTTCTGGACAAGGCCATATAGTAAATGTTTTAGGCTTTGTGGGCCATATTTTCTCTGCTGCAACCCCTCAACTCTGTCATTACAGATGGGAAAGGAACCATAAACAATACACAAACCAATGGGTGTCGCTGTATGCGAATAAAACTTTATTTACAAAATCTTGTGGTGCAAAGGCCTAGTTTGCCGACCTGTGACTCAGAACACAGTGGTGAAAAAAGAGGCAGAGCCCTGTCTTTAGACATATTTTCATGTTTTCATTTAACAAACATTGTAATAGCCTCGTTATGTTCCAGACATTTGGAAGAGTTTTATAAATACTGATGCACATAACGATCACCATAACCCTATAAGGCAAGTGCTATTGGTCTCCCTGGCTGGGTACAGAGAGGTTAGGTAACTGGCCAAGGTCACACAGCAGTAAGTGAATATCAGGTTTGAATGCAGGCAGCCTGTGTTCTTCCCCTTCACCACGTGCTGTGGAGAGGCAGGCTGGCCTTCATGGAAGGAACATCCACTGGGCACCTTGCTCGGCCTTAGCCTGGGGGGAAGGGAACAGGCCAGTGGTGATTAAGGCTTAGTCCTACCCTCAAGGAGCTCCAGTCCTCCAAATTTACAAGTATGAACATAAGAAAGCATGGGATTCAGGATGACTCCATTTCTATGACAGTTGGGAACCAGCAAAAATCACCAATGGGACAAAGGTGAGAAAAGAGGTGACCCTGGAGCATGCCGAGTCAGAGAGGCACAAGTGACCTTCCTACAGCGCTCTTCACCTAGGTGTCTGGTATTCCTAGGTTAAAAAACAACAACAACAACAACAACAACAAAAAACCAACGAGCTGACTCAGTAAAATACATACATTTTAAAAGTAAAATTTAAAAGAGACATGGAGGGGCCCTGGGCGGCTCAGATGGTTGAACAGCTGGCTCTTGATTATGGCATAGGTCATGAGTCGGGCTCCATGCTCGGTAGGAAGTCTGCTAGAGACTTTTTCTCTCCCTCTCTGCCCCTCCCCCTGCTCGCTCACACACTCTCTCCCTCTCTCTCAAAAATCAACCAATCAATCAACCTTAAAAAAAAAAAAAGAAGACCTGGAAAATGATCATCCCAAGCCTAAGGACTGGAAAATACCTTCAAAAATTGGCTGGGCCCTCCCTCCTCCGAAGGAAGGCAGGCTCTGCCCTCACTCTCCCCAGCTCAGAGGACCAAAGTTGCTCATGTCTCCTTGATTGCAAAGGCTGACCTCAGACCCCAGGCACTCAGACCCCAGGCACTCTGATCTCTTTATTTCCTGCCCTCAGCTTCAGTGGAACCCAAGCGGAGATGAGTTTGTGTCATCTGGAGCCCTCCACTTGCTGTACTTGCCAGTCGTCCAATTGCATATGCATTGGGTTCCCTGACCATCTACGGAGTCACCCATCCACATGTCCACTGGTACGTCACCTCCAAATTCTGTCCCTCCTGCAAGGAGCTCAGGGTCTTTGGAGATGATTTTCTTCTTGAGGATGACTGCTCTGTTGGGAGTTTTTGGAGAGAATGACATCCTTGAGGGCTGTCTTCACAGTCAGGGAGCCCTCCGAGGCTTGGAGAGATGGGAAGGAGGTTGAATACATGGTCTCTGGTGTCTGACTGCCTAGGTTAACATCCCCTACTCTCTGGCTTCCCGAGCTTGGGCAATTTTAAGACACCTCTTGGTTCCTCACTCCTCTGACCTGCAAAAGCCAGTGAGATAAATTGCCAAAATTCCCATGAACCTCCACACCCCCTGTATCCACACCCTTCTCAGTGCGACTTCACAGCTCTTCCCTCCCGGAGGTGGAGCCTGTTTTCCCACCCCTCAAATCTGTGACTTGCTTCAGACAACAGAATGTGGCAGATCGATGTTGTGCCCATTCTGAGCTAGACCTAACAAGACTTGGCACCCCCCTTATTTCTCCCCCTCTACCTCCCCACCTGTCTTCCCCCTCAGTCCTACCCCCATCATGTAAACAAGCCCAGGCTAGCCTGTTGGAGGATGGGGTGCCCCTCCCCCACATCAAAACCCCTTATCGCTGCAGCCACCCACTGCCCCCCAACTCCTGGAAGCAGAGCCTCCTAGCTGACCTGTGGCTGATGCATGATGGAGCCCAGGCAAAACCAGGAAGACTGCCCAACCGAAAGGGTTTCACTCACACCATCACAAGCCAATGATCAGTGGTTGTTTCAAACAGCTATGTTTTGGGGTGTTTTTATGCAGAACTATTGCAGCAGTAGGAAAGCAATGTAACAGGATTCTACACTCTCAGACCTCACAGAGTTGTGGAGGGAATGAAACGATGTGGTTTGAGTTCAGTGGCTGGCCCAAGGCCACAGTTCGTGAATGTCAACTGTTAGTGTCACGGTGGGGCATTGTGTCCCACGTGGAGAGCAAACCGACAATCTCTGCCAAAGTCACTGTGCTGGAAGTGGACTCCACCCGAGCATCCAACAGGCCACTTGTCACCATATGTGGCCCCACCTACAGAAGCCTGGGCTCTGCCTACAATGCCTAGGCAAGACTTTTTACAGTTATATAACCAACAGGCACCCGTGGACTAGCTGGGAAAGGATGCGTGAGGTTTGTGGGACTCCCTGCCAGGCAGATACGGGGCACCTGCCAAGAGCCAGCAGACAGGTTGCGACAGTCTCTTCGTGCCCCGCTTCCTCGAGGACATTCTGGCCCTCCTCTGGAAAAGGCTGGGATTGCATGCAGCGGGACCAAACCAGATGGCCCCTGGAGACCGGCCTTCCTCCCACTGCTGAACAGCTTTGAGCCTTAGTGCATCACAAAGAACTTGTGGTGCTGACTCTAATTCCAGTTTCAGAAGTGAGTCACAGCCTCGGCACCCATGCGGTGCGTTATATGCACAAAGCTGCTTTTTGCTTCCTTGTGTGTAGTGGCAAAAAACTGGAAACTGTTGGAGTAGCCATCGTTAGGGAGGTGGGCGAAGAAACTGTGATAGTCGTACACCTGCAGAATATTATGCAGCTGTGTTTAAACCTGGGTCTTTTGACCTGGAGGGAATCTCTATGATGTATTGTTAGGCGAGAAAATCCAGCTGCATGATAATTAATGCACAGAGAATGATCCCATTTGTATAAAACAACAAAATCCCATGTATGAATACATATATTAGTATAAGTTTGTGTGTGGTATGGAGAAGATATGGAAGGATACTCACCTTGAGGAGTGGGGGTGGGAGAAGCTTATTAGCTTATCCTTTCTTCTCATTTTATTTTTATTTGCTAAATGATTCATATGTGTTCCCACCTCCATCTCTCACTTTCTCCCTCTCTTTCTCTCTCTTACTTGGGATCTCTACACACACACACAGACATACGCATAAACACACACACACACACACACACACACACACACACACACACACACACACAGTTTCTTCCTGAACCATTAGAGAGTAAGTTACATATGTCATGGAAATTTACCCCTAAATAAGTAGTGCAATGTGTATTTGTGCTCCTAAGAATAGGACAACAGTGCAGTCATCAGCTTCAGAAATTTAACATTGATACTAAAGTATGTTCTCCGATCCCAAGAGAAGTAAAGAAATCAATAACAGAAAGATATATGGAAATTTTCCACAAGATATGGAAATTAAATGACTCACTTCTAAATAACCCATGGTCAAAGAGGAAGTTGTGGAGAAATGAGAATATATTCTGAATATAACAACATTAAAGAATAATACTTCCAAGGGCGCCTGGGTGGCTCAGTGGGTTGGGCCTCTGCCTTCGGCTCAGGTCGTGATCCCAGGATCCTGGGATTGAGCCCCGAGTTGGGTTCTCTGCTCAGCGGGGAGCCTACTTCCCCACCTCTCTGTCTGCCTCTCTGCCTACTTGTGATCTCTCTCTCTGTCAAATAAATAAATAAAATCTTAAAAAAAAAAAAAAAGAAGAAGAAGAAGAATACTTCCAGGGGCACCTGGGTGGCTCAGTGGGTTAAGCCTCTGCCTTCGGCTCAGGTCATGATCCCAGGGTCCTGGAATCGAGCACCGCATCGGGCTCTCTGCTCAGCAGGGATCCTGCTTCCCTTCCTCTCTCTCTGCCTGCCTCTCTGTCTACTTGTGATCTCCGTCTGTCAAATAAATACATAAAATCTTAAAAAAAAAATAATACTTCCATCTAATCCACAGATTCACATTTCTTTTATAGACTGTTTATAATTCACGTTCTTTACCATGTGAATTTCTTTCTTTCTTTTTTTTTTTTTTTTCGAGAGAAAGATTGCGTGTGTGTGAAGAAGGGGAGGGACAAAGGGAGGGGGAGAGAGAGGATATTAAGCAGGTTCCATGCCCAGTGCAGAGCCCAACATGGGGTTCCATCTCATGACCCTGAGATCGTGACCTGAGCCGAAACCAAGAATTGGATGCTTTAACTCAATGAGCCACCCAGGTGCCCCTGTCGTGTGGCTTTATATACCCACCCACTGGAATGGGTAGAGGTTACTTCCCTTCCCTGCCAATACTGGGCTGGGACATCTAACCTGTATCAGCCAAAGGAAAAGGGCCAGAGTGAGAATGCACTGGTTCTTGACCAAGGCGTTATGTTTCTCCAGTGCCTTCTGCATCTTCCATTACCATGAGAAGAGCTTGCCCCTGGCACCTGATGCAGTGTTGCCTTGGGAACCAGAAGGAACACAGGTGGGGCAAACCCAAGCCTAACCCAGCTGCACACACAGATCTGGAGTGGCCCAGCAAACCCCTAGCAACCCCTAGCAACAGATACATAAGAAATAAACACTTACAGGGACACCTGGCTGGCTAAGTCCATTAAGCATCTGCCTTCAATTCAGGTCATGATCCCAGAGTCCTGGGGTTGAGACCTGCATTCGGCTCTCTACTCATCAAGGAGTCTGTTTATCCCTCCCCCTCCGCTGCTCCCCGCTGTTTGTGCTGTGTTTCTCTGTCAAATAAATAAATAAAATATTTAGAACGAAAGAAAGAAAGACTTACTGCTGTATACCACTGAGGTTTTGCATTTGTTTGTTATATAGCAATGACTGATGGATACAGTAGCTAGTGGTTATAAAACAATTTAGGGATTGTTATGAGACCTTTATTTATATTAAGTCATTGTACATGCAACAGTCCTTTTTCACAGATGAGGAAACTGAGCTTAAGTTACTTGCATAATGTCACCTAGGTAATAAGCTAATAAATTGTGTGACCATGGGACATATTGCCTCTAGACTTCCGCTAGAATGATAATTGGTGGTGGTGGTTGTTTGAGCCACCTTGAGTTGGGGTTCTCTTCCTTGCAGTCCAAAGCATCCTGCCTGATTCACCTCTAGAGTCTTCCCCCACCCTGCCCCCCCCCCCCCCCGCCTCCTGACATTATCTTCAACCGCCCCAGGGAATCCCTGACGACCTTGGGGGAAAGCTCTTTGCTTTCCCCAAACATTAGTTTACACCTTCCCACGTGCAGACTTTTGAAGCCTAAAAGCGAATGAATCTGGTTTCCAGTCTATAGATGGGCAGAGAAGGTGAAGAGCAGGGGTGTTGTATCGGGGGGTGCAGAGGATGTGAGAGGAGGCACACAGATTTCCATCCTTGGCTAGATCCTCTAGCCTGGGGTTCTCCACCTTGGCCATCCATTAGAATTTACCAGACCTGGGGAGCTTTTACCAATCCCTATGCCCTGGCCATGTCCCAGACATGCTACATCAAGGGCTCCATGAATGGGATCCAGGCCCTGGGGTTTGTGGGGCAAGGCTGGGGTACATGTAGTACCAGCCCCACTTTAACTGGGGA